AGCCAGTTAGATGGAAAACAAAAGATGAAAAATCCCTTCCTCACCGATCCTCTGCATTATAAATTCTGTTTGATTCTTACCTTTTTTTTTTTAAACCTCAATTCACTTTCATTCTCAGCTGCACTGTGGTTTAACTTCTTCCTTTAGATACATTCCATTCCGTAGCACTTTTTTCCCCCAGTATTTGAAACTCATTCCCGTTCTTGTTAAAATATACTGTTTGCCCACCTAGAACTTAAAAAATATATATATTCTCTCTGATATTTTAATGCTTTCATGTTTTATTATTTTTTAATGCTTTTCCACCTGCTGTAACTTTCTCTCAGTTTTTCAGCACATCACATGAAAGGTAGAAAATTTATATCCCCATAAACCCTCTTTAGTCTCTGGAGTTATTTTGCTAACCAACCTCTTCCTCCCATTTTAAGAGGTTATGTATAGATCAAAAAGCACCAGGGACGGTAAAGAGATTGCAGCTCAGCAAAAGGGAGCAGGATTTCTGGAGTCAAACCAACTTGGGTTTGAACCCTGACTCCATCCTTTTCTACCAGTGAGGCCTTAAGCAATCTCCGTAGCCTTTCTGTGCCTCAGTTTCTTAATCTATAAAGTGTAGATAATAATACTTAACCTGTGGAGTCATTTGAGGATGAATGACAGCATATGAAGAAAGAGCTTCTGGGTCCAGTGTGTAGCCCAGAAACCACTCAGGAAATGATCATTTAGTGTTGCTACATCTCCATTGTTGTCACACCAGGGTGATGAATGGACAGGTCTGTCCCTAAAAGGCTAACTTCATCACCCGAGAGAGAATTCTGTCTTCAGTGAACATTTCTTGACTCCAAAAGTCTTTCTGAATGGGGTGTCTTCACACCATAAGCAATTATGAGGTATGTGTTCTGTGCTAGGCTTTCTGGAGAAATAATTAGAGCCCAGCCTCAACCCTCAAGGAGCTTACAATCTGGTTCAAAGCTAGTGCACAAACTCAACTATGGTGTAATGTAAAAAGTGTACATTCTAGAAGATTCTCGAAGCGCTGTGGGAGATAAAAGAAGACAACAGGATTTCAAGCCAAAGACATTCAAAACCAAACCTATATGGCCTCACTTCTGCAGCCAGACTAGTTCTTGCCCAGCATTCCCTGTCCCCATGAGTGGGCACTAGCCTGCGTTCAGATACCGCCAGGGCTCTGGGAAGCTCTCGCCACCGCTCTCTCTCCTTCCCTTCTGCTGCCACCTGGCCACATTAACATCTCTAAACCTCCCCATCTGTCTTCACTTCCAGTGACTTCCTTCTGTGGTTCTCACATCTCAGTCCCTTAGAATCCCCTGGATGGCTTGTTAAAATACAGATTGATAGGTCCCCACCCCCAGAGTTTCTTCTAATTCCATTGGTTGGGGTGGGATCTGAGAATTTGCATTTCTAACAAGTTGCTACCCCAGTTGTTGCTGATGTTGCTGGTCTGGGGGCCACGCCAGGAAGCACTGTTTTAGTTCATGCCCCCATCATGTCCTATGGGGATTATTGCTCCATCTTCCTAGCTAAACTGTCCCTAATCCTTCCTTTCTTCTTCTTCTTCTTCTTCTTCTTCTTCTTCTTCTTCTTCTTCTTCTTCTTCTTCTTCTTCTTCTTCTTCGTCGTCGTCTTCGTCGTCTTCGTCGTCTTCGTCGTCTTCTTCGTCTTCTTCGTCTTCTTCTTCTTCTTCTTCTTCTTCTTCGTCTTCTTCTTCGTCTTCTTCGTCTTCTTCGTCTTCTTCTTCTCATTCTTCTCATTCTCCACCCTGATCACAGATCTGGAAGGAAAAAGAAAAAAAAAAAAAAAAAGCCCTTTCTGACTGTGGATTGCCCAGAGCATAAATATCAAAGTTCCTCACATGATCTCCAGGGCCCTCAGTGACCCAGCTCCTACCTTCCTCTCTAGTCATACCTGCTGCGGGCAGATCCCACACCTGACCTCTAGCACACAGAACTCCTGGCAATTTTAATATCCAGGTCATTTTGGGTTTTGTCCTTTGCATCTCCTGTCCACTCTGTCTGCAACGCTGCGGGTCCCTTTCTTCACTTGGTAATTCCTGCAGGTCCCTGCAGGCCACTCAGGAACGCCTCCTCGGGGGAACACTTCCTCTCCATCTGCAGGCAGAGAGAGATCCCTCACCCCTGTGCATGCTACCCCACGGTGGTTACTGCATAATGAGGCTGGCCTGCCAGCCCACCCCACCCACAAGACCTTGAGCTTCCTGAGAGCAAGGGCCAAATCTTTTATCTCTATAACCATGACCCCAAGTAATACATCCTGACACGGAGTTGGAAATCAATGGATGTTGAATGAAAGGAGATCCAGGAAGGCTGGTTTGAAAGAAGCAGGCATTTTAGCGAGATGTAAAGGTGGTTAGGGTTTGGACATGCAGAGAAAAGAGGAAAGACATTCCATTTAAGAGGAAGCTTGGACCTGAGCTTGGACATAGTCAGGCTTGGACACAGTGTGAGGAAGAAACAGAGGTCTGGTTTGGCTGGCCACGGGACATCTTGAACACCAGTTGAGGGTGAGAATAAAGGTAGACTCAACATGACTCAGCAAGTGATTAAGTACAAAAGTCAGGAAAAACCCAAGAGATGGAGTATGCTGGATGAGGACTAAAGATGGACGAGGACCAAGAGTGTGGTTTGGGCCGTCGTGGATTTGGGGACACCATTAGGACACACTCCACTGTCTGGTCTTTCTGTGCCTTCCCTCTCACCTTATTTATGTTTTGATCTCCAGGGCCTAGTAGTAAGTGCTCAATAAATGCTGAATGAGTGAATGGTCAATGAATGTAGGCAGTGGAATACATAATAAAGGCCAACAGCAATCCTGCATGAGCCAAGAAAGAGGACAGATGGTTTCTGAGATGATTTTAGGTAGCGCCATCATCACTTATGATGCCACCCATGGGGATCAAACTCAGGCAAGAGGAAAGGCAGGCTGCTGGCAATATGGGGGGTGGACTTAGGGAGGCAGGAGGGAATTCTGGGGAAGGGCAGCATGGGCACAGAAGACCACTGCCTGCCCTAGACCTGGGGAAAGTCTTAGTATTTGTGAAGACAGGCAAAGGACACCTTGACCGGAATGCCTCTAACCTGTGCTAGCCTACTTTGTAAGTGGCCTCACTATTTGTGTGCAGCGACGGAAGGTATGAGAGATGGATACACTCCCCGACTTCAGTGTACTAATGCAATAAACAGGAGCATTAGTACTTTCCTTCTATGTTTAAAGGTACGTCGAGAAAGGGTTACGCGCTGTCACTGCTAATCCATTTCTCCCTGTGAAATAGACAGCTTTATGAGTATTATGACACTGTTCTCCAAATGTAACTACTACTGTTCTTCCATCCAATTTAACACCTTGACAGGTGTTTAGAGAATGTAATATAATGTTGAAAATGTGAAAGAAACGGTTTTTCTTCTGACCTGTTCTTCCAGCCTTCCTGTACAATACCAGGGGGCTTTCTCCTATTACTCGTATGTGTGCAGAGACATAGTTGAATAAAAATAATCTAGAGATTAAAGCATTAAGTGGTCTTTATATTAAACACACACACAGTAAAGAGTTATGTTTCTAAGCAGACATCCTCAGATGTCTTGGGTTGTGCTTCCAAATCTGTAATTCTAGTTGGTAGATCCATCAGAAATCAAAATTTGCAGTGTGACCAAGCAGGGTATTCTATTGCCAAAAGCAACTAGGACATACTTGGGAGGGGGGCGGCGGGTTACGTAAAGGATCAACAGCAGATAAAGAGGCAGGATTCAATTTCCTTTTATGCTCTGGCTGGGGACAGGCAGACCATTATTTACCCCTGCCTGCCACTGATTAACAAAGCACAAGGTTATGAGCCGCAAGTCATTGGCTTTTAAAATTCAATTTCATTTCTTTAAACAATCATTGTGAGCGTGAATATCTAATTAAAGGCTTTAGACACTGAGGTCCTAATATAACAATCTGTAATGCAGGTCCTAGTTGGGGTTCATTCATCCACCAAATAGTTATTGAGCATTTCTGTGTTGTCAGCCCTGTGTGGGACATGAGGGAGAGCTGGGTTTTCTGTCCTGGCTTTCCAGACTCTGATTTTATCATTGTTGTTACTGCTGTGGTTAACACACGGGCGACTGCCTCTGTTTCCAGTTTTCTAGTTCCTAAGAGATGCTGTACTTCTGATGTCCATCCAAAGTGGCCATTTTCAATGTGCTCTAAAGGATTCCACTGTGTGTCAGTATTGATGGGGCCAATTAGAAACTCTAAGGAAAGTGGAATTCAGGAAGTCAGGGAGTCGTAAGAATGCTTGGAATTTCTAACAGATTTCGCTAAACATTTTCCGTATCATGACATGTTCCAGAAGACCATAAACGTTGGTTTGTACAAATATAAACTCCTCTTTGCCTTGCTGATAACTGCAAATAAATACTTCAGATGACCACCCACCAAAACCCCAAGAAGTTTTGGGCATTTGTGTGTTCCCTATAAAATATTTGCTTTGTACATTTTTGTAATCAAAGGGGAAAATCATGAGATGTTACCTCCTTTTTTTCCCCACTGTTAAATTCTGCAGAACCAGTTTCAAACATTTCTGTGGATCTCAGTAATATCATTATAGAAATGTAAAATAATGTTTAACCTCTTGTCTTGATCTGACTTTGAAAGGAGGGGAATAAAGACTTTTTTTTTTTTTTTTTTTACTTGCATTTCGGTACCGCCAGATGCTGAATTCTCCAGTTAAAATGACTTAACCTGTCACATTGTTTTCATGGTAGCAATCAACTAAATTAAATACAGGACTATAAATTTGGATAACAGTTTTATTCAGCAAAAAGCCTACCGTAAAGTTTGTAGATGCTGCACCAAACACAGCTGTTTTGGCCCTGGTCCAAGAGGTAATAGTGAGGATAAAGGAGTAGGGAACATAACCTTTAGCTTAGTATAGTTTGGTAAATTAGATCCTATATATGCTAATTTTGTACTTTCTTTAATAGATGGAACTGATTAAAAATATAAGTACTGCCGAACAGCCCTATTTATTCACTCGACATGTTCATTTCCTCAACTTCTCAAGGTAAGGTATTTTCCAGCCTAACGGTTCTTTCATTTCTTTTTAGTACTTGAACTCCTTCTAATGCACAATTATTTTAAAATCTACCTTCATTTTCAAGGTAGTGTAATTGCCCCTGAAAGGACTTTTTAAATCCATTTATTTTTGCTGTGGAGGGATCCAGATTTGAAATATTTGGACAGAAGCTTCATTTCTTTCTCAAGTACTAATCTTAAATCTTTTGAAAACTTGAAATAATTTTGATGCAAACCCATTTGACCTGATAGTTTCAGTTTAAAGAAAAAATCGGGTAGGTATTGAAACAAACTAAGAGGCAAGAGATGGGTATTTTAACAGAAATATTTCATTGCACGTGTTTATACAATTTGAACCCACACAGGACTCTGGGAATAACTTAGTTGTGGAGTCATGTATTTTATAGGATCCAAAATGCTAGGACTGGCCTCTCTGCCTACCTTTTTCATACTCCATTTGATTATTCTAAATCTTGCACAATTGTTGCTGTTGGGGTATTTTAGAACTCTGTTTTTTCTTCAGCTGCAGGGGCCTTCTGATCCTAATGCAAATCTTCAAATTTAGGGTTTTAGACTCTTGATCTGTTAAGTTGCTAACTTCCAGTTCTGAGCATTCTTTTCCTCCTCTAGCCTAGGTCCCCTTGTCACTATCCACTCTCCTCTCTTCAGGCTGGCCCGAGTCTGCTCACAGTCAGTATGGGCTCGACAGAGCACTGGGTCCAGGGGCAGATCTGCTGAACAGCCCCAGACCCCTGGGCCTCCCTCATCCTCTGTCTGACAGGCACTTCCCTTACTGCTACAGTTCCCGTGGGGATAACAGGACCTCACAAGTCTGCAAGAGAGCAACAGAGATCCTGCTAGCTATTGCTGGCCTAATGCCCCCCAACCCTCGAGGTCCAGGCACCCAGGGAGGCTGGTGCTCAGGGAAAGACAGGGCTCCGCCTGAGTGTTCCCTGCTCCTGAATTCACACCTGAGCTGCTCAGAGTTGGCACAGCTGCCCAGCCCCAGGATATCTAGGGGCTGGGAGGAGGTTTTAGCCTTCAAAGGACTTCCCTGCTGTGCACCAGGCCCAGTGCAAATCAAGTGTAAAGAGAGATTCAGCAGAGCAAGTTATGGAGCAGCAAAGAGAAGGTGCCGCCTTATCTTTAAAAGCAAGTTCCCCCTGAAATTTCCCCACCTACCTGATAACCGGAGTTCCCTTGGATGGTGAATAAGCATATAGGACACCTGCAGGTGATCCTCAGTGACTCAGTAGCCTGAGTGTGTTTCCAGCCCCATTTGTGGAATGGCTTGTTGCTGGATTGTCTGGGGTATGCACCCTGCCTCTCACTTCCAGCCGGCCAAGAACATATAATTAGACATAACTAGATAACGAAGTCTTGTTAGCTATTTCAGGCATTGGGTTTTACGACTTGCAGAGAGCAAAGCACGGCTCCCCTCACCCTTGCTTTTCTTGTGAGCTTCCTCTGTGTCACCCCTGACATCCTCTAACCTTATGATTTAACTCTTGCTTCATGGGTCAAATTTTTACAACCAAAACAAATTGCAATGCAATGAATTTTAATAACTGACTCAGGACAGTGTAAAACTCTAATGATAAGCCAGAGCCAGTACCTTAATTGGGTCAGCAGAGCTGAGCACAGCATGGCAACCATACCTTATCATGGCCTCCACTATTAAATACATGTCTGAGAATTATTTAATTTTGATCAATTTAATCATGAAAAAAAATTGGTAAGTACCTTTGCGAAGACACCACATCTGCAGAAAATAGTGTTGGCCTGGCTGCCAGGACCTCTGTGTATGAGACCTTCCCACTGACCATGGCTCTGGGCTGGCAATTTCACCTCTGGGCAGGGATGGGAGGTCTCTTGTTTTCCCACCTATAAAATAGGGACAATTCCTGCCCACTCCTACCTTGTGGGGATGATCCTAACACATGAATGAAGGAAAGCCCTTCAGCTTCCTTCAGAGGATATTACATATATGCAGTGTGGAATTTATTTTTTAAGGGGAAATAATTATATTTGAAATAAAACAAGTCCAGATATATATTGACTACCATGCACACTTAAAAAAAAAATGTGTACCAACATAGATCATTCTGAATAAATTACAGCAATTTATAGTAGAGCAAAATTGAAACATATATTCCTATTTTCCTTATGAAATAGATTGTTGTAAGTAGTCTTTCCTCTGATATATCCCAATAATCTTCTTTTTTCTCATATTTTCCTATTAATTTTCAGCTGGAATTACTTCATCACTTTTGATTTTTTTTCTATCCAGGTTGTGCATCTATTTGATTGTATATTAGAAACGATACACATTGCTATGTCTCTCACAACTGCTTAGCCCTATGGAAAAATTACCTTTGTAGTTTCTACAGAGTTACTTTTGTAGACCTCTGGAGTTTGCAGAGGTCTGTGAAGTTCTCTGCCACTTCCTAAAGACAACCTGCGCAAAGTGGTATTCAGGAGCATTTCTGTAGAAGCCTCATTCGGGGCCTACAGTTGAGTGTCTGTCCCTGGGTAGCTTTGCAGTGTCCCCATGACCTTGAGAGCAGGGCCCAGCTCATGCTGATTTCTCCTTCCTCCATTCCATTTTGTTCAATGAACGCATTTTTGTATTGAGGACCCTTTATCTCCTGTATGCTGCTCCAGGACTGGGACTTCCACAATGAACTAGAAATGTTTTCCTTGGAGGCGCCTGGGTGGCTCAGTCAGTTAACCGGCTGCTTTCAGCTCAGGCTGTGATGCCAGGGTCCTGGGATCGAGCCCAGGGAGCCTGCTTCTCCCTCTGCCTGCCGCTCCCCCTGCTTGTATGCTCTCTCTCTCTCTCTGTGTGTCTTAAATAAATAAATAAAATTCTTTAAAAAAAAAAAGTTTGCTTTTGGGGAAGTGTACGCTCTCCTTCCATTAAAGAAGAATGGCAACAAAGTGTGATGACTTTAGGAGAAAGGGTCACGGGGTCTCCCCCAGGGGAGGTGGGAGGCAGGACCCTCCCTCCCTGGAGGAGGAAGTGTGGAAGGACTTTCTAGAACAGTTGCCATTGCTGCTGGGATGTGAGGGACGGGCCAGCTTTAGACAAAGGGGAAGGGCATTGGTGGCACAAGGACCAGCATGAGCTAAAGCCCGAGAAAGAGAGGGATCGAAAGGAATCAGTAGATAGGAGCCCAGGGGCGGGCACAGCAAAAAAAGATGACAGTCAAGAGTTTCAAGCGGAGGAAAAAGGAGAGACTGGCCTGAGCAGTTCTCTCCTTTAAAAAGCTCATGCTACCTTCGGGAGCAATCTCATCCTCTCCTGCCACCCCCAGGCGCGAGGCTGGGGCTTCAGGTAGGAGACCTCTGCGAGCGTGATTAGAATGACAAATCCAGCTTTACTACTTTACAAGACTGTGTTAAACCCACTGAACATGGGAAGTTAAAACACCAGCTTTTCTTTTTCCAGGGAACAACTTTAAGGGAAAAAGGCCTTAGGGGTAAATGGCAAACTGGGTATGTAAAGAAAGCTCCCAGTACACAATTCACAGAAAAACCACCACGTCGGAATGTGCTTTTAGAAAGGAGTTCTATATTTTGAATTGTAAGGCAAAGAGATAATTAAGCTACTCTTAAGAAACCTGCCCTGATCATTGCTGACAGCCATATATATGGTTGGCTTGGTTCAAGATAATGAGGTTATTAAGAGAAGACTTGATACTGTAACTTAATAGTCTTTGTTGATATTTGATTTCTAATCTTCCTTACATTCTTAACATGCAGCAAGACACTTGCTGGTGAGCAGAATATAAGAATGAAAGTCTCACCTCCCTCCCTACAGCTGGTGCACATAACTGTTCTGGACTTCTGAAGTGAACAGCATTGTACCAAACCGAATTGCCCGTTACTTCTTTTTTTCCATTAAGTACTGCATTCTTATCTCAAAATGTAGACACTTTAACTGATGCAAAATACTATCCTGTGAGCTCCTGGCGATTAGATAGCTGACTTGCTTCATTTATTCATCATCTAGGCATCTTGCTCTGTTCCTTCTTTTCCCTAATTTTAGACCTAGAAAGACCATTTCATCATATCCAGTTTTATTAACTCAACCATAGAAAGCAAGAGTGATCACACCAAACCAGTATTTTCGTCGTCGTTTCGGGGAAGGCTTCCTGCCAGGGGACATAAGCAACTCCGAACCCAGCAGAAATTTCAGGCCGGTTGGGATTTGTGGGTGTTTCCACGAAACTGCTCTTTTCACATGGCTTTTGAACTGCTTAAAACTTTGAGCCGGACAAATGTTTTCCAACTGAACTACCTGGAGAATTGAGTCAGAATGACCATGGCCTAAAAGATGCTACTCTTTGTTGTGATGTTTTAGGAGGATTTTTAATATTTGTGTACTCTGCTTTCCTGTGTCCGTTCCCGGAGCTAACCGAGAGAATTACAATTTTTGAAAAAGTTCAGCCTCTCAGCATCAACGAAATCTCTTTAAGGGCGTCCCAGATCCACACACTGCAAACACTGTGACGGACAATTCAATTTATCTTCCCCTCACCCCCACTTTTTGTTTGTTTGCTAAGTGTTTTTGGGAGGGTGGAGAGGAGGCAGTGACTTTCCAGCCTAGGGGCCCCCTCAGCCCCCACCTGGCGTCTGGCAGGGAAGACCCTGGGAAGGGCTGGGTCAGAGCACTGTGCTGTCAAAATAGTCCAAGCAGATTACAGGACAGATCAGTGCGCTCAGCAATTTCCAACTGTAGCCTCAGAGGCCTCCTTCCAGGGCAGGCTGCGTTTCTTGTTCATGACTCGCTCACCTGCCTTCCGTTCTGCTGCTTTTCCTCATTTATCTCCCATGATGGTTCCAGCGACAGTACGAACTCGCAAAAGCAAAACATTTAAAAATAAATCAATCACCTGAGAAGCAGGCAGGGTGCGATGTGCGACGGGGGGAGGCGTTTTGGACACTTTCCTCTCTTCCCTTAACGCGAGGCCTTCATTACTGGCGCCTGCAGAGAGAGGCTGCCTTCCGATGGCACTGTTTAACAAAACAAATCCCATCTTACCTATTCCAGAATCCCGTCGGCCTTCCACGTCTTCCTTCTAGATGTTGACTTGACATTCTCATGAGCAAGGCCTTCCACTTTAAGCCCCGTGCCCTGCAGATGTTTTGTAGTGGTGACAGAAGTCTCCAACTTTGAAGAGGGCATCAAGATAGAAATTGGTATCAGCCGTGGTTGAACACTTTCTTTTCCCTCCTTAAGCATCGCCCAGAAGTCTGATTTTATGCTGTTTAAACGCTGCTGGACCAGTCCTGGGAAAATGGCGCTCTCTCCCTCAGTCTCCTCTTTCCCCAAGGGGGGATTCTGCTGCTCGGTGGACACAGAAGCCCACCTGCTTTGTGGGCCCGATGAAGATTGGGATCATCTGGACTTTCCCCGAGCCTGCCTCACTGCACACCACCACCGACCTTCCCCCTCGTGGAGTCAGCTTGTCTCCCAGCAGGAGCCCTTAACCCTGTGTCCCAGCTGTCCCTCCCTTCACCCCATTTGTCCTCACTTTCCATCAGCATATACTTCCTCTTTCTTCCCTCAGGACACGCCATGGAGCAGAGGAAGCTCAGTCTCTTCTGCTTGTGTTTTGTGAAGGGAGGCCCTATCCCGGGAGCGGCCAACAACCCAAGTGCCCACTGTCTTGGGTTGTGAGGATAGAGGGAGGTGCTTCCACCCCATTCCAGCAAAGGACCAGTAAATAAGCAGCCCCCCTTCTTCCTCCTGCAGGCAGCTCCTCACCCTGCCCCCCCCAGTCACATCCTTCTCCATGATGGATTTTCTCTCACTTCAAAGTGTCTCCTCCCTCACCTGACAAGGATCAAAGCTGGGCCTCTAGCCACGGGGTACTTGTCATTTTTTCCTGTAGGTAACAGCACAAGGAGAACTCTACTTTTACGCCAGAGGTGAAAAGATATACTTTCAGTAAAATGGAAATTGCCAGGGGCCAAGAGGAAGGGAATATAGAGCTTGGGTTTGGGATGATGAGAAAGTTCTGGGGAGGGATGGTGGTGAGGGTTGCATAACAGTGTGAATGTACTTAATACCACTGAATGGTACACTTAAAAAGTCTTATGTATGTTTTACCATAATTTTAAAAAAAAGACATACTTTCGAAAAGTGTTTCCAGCCCTAGAAAACTGTCTTCATTCCCTAGAATAATTTTGGTCATAAGGTTTATTGTTTACTATATGCAGTAATATTCTAGGCAGAATATCAGCAGCAATTGGATGAAAGTATACCTAAAATTCTTACCCACATGCTTTTCATAGCTGTTGGAGAAATAGCTAATGTTGTGGGTTAATTGATTAAGTAGCAGTGCGGGGCAGATATAGAAGAAAATCCTCAGAATGAATTATTTAGGAATGCATGAGAAAAAAATGAGAACCATGTCATTATTATTCCTAGAGAATTACATCCTGCTTGGGATCTTCATCTTCTCCTCAAAAAACAAAAATAGAAAGAATATGATAAATTTGCAGAGGGTCAGAAGGAGACCCACAGGGGTGATTAAAGAGTTGATAAATAGGACATATGAACAAAAGTCAAAGAAATTGGAAATACCTGCTATTTTAGGATGACTTAAAAGAGAGCTTCAAATAGTAGCTGTTGTGGTGACCAAAGGACAAGAGTGTGTGTTGTTAAGAGAAAAAGAAAATATGGCCTGACTTCTGTGCTCTAGTCTGTAGGCACAGCACAGAACCTACCCTCATTGTGGTCAGCACAATTGTTTAGAGTTTAATAAAGACCAAATTAGAAGTACAGATTAAAAAATAAAAGGAAGTAAGTCTGAAGACAACTGCTAAAGGAATTTTCAAGAAGACACACACACAAAAGAATTTAAAGGAATTAAAATTGAAGCTGAAAAGGCTTAAAGTTGTTTAAAAAAAAAATCTATAAAGAGAAGCCAATTCTTTATGTTGAGTGGATCAAACAAAAGGAAAAGCGCATAAAGGAAGATTAGGAATTTTGGCTGGGTGTACCAAAGACTCCTCAACTGTCAGGTTGGCTTAATAGGATGGGCTTCACCTGGAGGCTCTGGAAATGTTCTCTTCAGAGCTGAAAACATAAGGCAGAGTGTTGTGCTGTGTGAGATTGGGTGGGGGTGCAAAGTATTCTCTCTCTCTCTCTCTTTTTCTCTCTCATACAAGGAGCAGTAGTAGGTTCAGGGGATTGAGAGACCTTCTAAGGGTGACCAGAAATTCTGACTAGAACTAAGAAGTGTGGAAGGAGGAGAAATTGACCTTGAGAGAGGGTAGGATGAGGGGGGAAATTTGTTTCCCCGGGACACACGGGTGATATGCTGGCCTCTTTTGTATAACTGACATGCCACCCCAATTTTGCCAGTTTGGGAGGGAGTTCTGTGTCCTAGAAAAAGGACTGGGGCCGGCAGCCTCCCTTCCAAGTACTGACCAAGCCCGACCCTGCTTAGCTTCCAAGATCAGACGAGATCGGGTGCGTTCAGGGTGGTATGGCCGTAGACTGGGGCTGGCAGCCTGAAACCATTATTACTGTTGATTTCTGGAAAGAGGGAGATATATCAGACATCTTTCTACAGTTAAAAATTTCGTGAGTGGCTATTATATTATCTGATACTTAATAATAAATTACTAAGCCACCTAGAACTTCTGTTTGGGAAAATTATTCTGCAAATCTTGCATTGGGCTACAACGTGCAATTGGGAGCAAGTCACCCATGCTCAAGAAGCCTTGTGAGTCCTCATGTCCACAGTGTTAGGGGGAAGATGGCTGTGGCCAGTTTGAGAACTCTCTCACCATGGGAAGCTGTGCGTTGATTCACATGATTGGGCAGTTCTGCTAATTAGCAGTGATGGTCACTCTTCACATGAAGTTGAAGTAGAGTTGAGGTTTTTTAAAGCATGATGCAGTTGCTGGGGGTTTAATTGTATTCACATCTGGTAGGCATGCTTTGTCTTCCTGATCCTTAGCTTTATTACTTTAGTTGCTGCTTATTATAGATAGGAGACTCAATTTAATTAAAAAGAGGACGATCCATCCAGGATGATAGCGGCTAGCCGGCTTGGCACAGCTGACTTCCGAGGCTAGTTGGTTGCCGTGTTCATGCAGATGCATGGATGTCACCTGCATACATCTGGGCGCTGACGAGATTCGTACTGGCACGGCTAGCCTTACTCATGAGCAGCGTGTTTTCCAAGGTGGAGTCGTCCAGGAGTCCAGAACGTCATTCATGCAACTTGGTGCCCGAAATTCCACCCCTGGAGAGTCGTTTCTTTTTGTACCTTTGGATTCTTCTCTCTGAAGGTTCGCTTTCAAAATGCAGATAAACCGAGGACAACGTTATGTGCATTAATACACAAAAAAGGATCGGTGGCTTGTTATGTCGACTTTCCTCTACAGCAGAGCCCTGTGATAGCAACAGAAACTTACCAGCTTAGAAGCATACACCCAGGGAGTCACGTCTTCATGGGTGACTGTGTAGGTACTGTGTGCCAGGCACTGTGCTAAGTGACCTCATTCCCTGCTCCAGGAGGCAGTCTGATGGGAGAGGCAGACCTGGACGCACAGTGCTGGAGAGAGGGATGGACACAGCATGGGACTGACCTGCTCAGGGATGTGACTGATTCTGGGCTGGGTTTTGAAAGGTGACCGAGTCTGCCAACTGAAGAGAAGGGGGAGGCTCATGTCCATTTGTTTTCTCTGAACTCCTTCTGACCCCTGGTAGAAGGTCAGGGCATCCTCATCAGAAGGTCATGGGGTCACAAGGTAAAAGGAGCCTGTGGGTCCTTCAGCGCAAGACCTCTTTGCAGAGCCTGGAGTGTTCTCCCAGTCTTCTCGGGGTTACTGTTTTCAAGTGGGTTGAAGAGAAAGGGGAGGAATCCTTAAGAACAAGTCAGCCGACCTCATCATTTTGCCTTGGGAAGGCCTTGCCCTCGGGCTAGCATTCAGAGCATTTGTCCAGTCCCTTTGTGGAAGGCATTAAAATGGAACACCTAGATATTTGTTTTATTTTTATCTAAAACCACTCGCCATCACTTGGGGATAATTATATTGATTTCTGCTGTGTTCACAATGTCCCTTACATTATTACTTTTCTCAACTCTGGAATTTTGTCTCCATGGTTCAGAACACAGCTTCTGGAGCCAGCCTGCCTGGGTTCGTAGCCTGGCTCAGCCACGAACTACTCAGGCCCCGGTGTAAATGGGGATGATTATGGTTTCTACCCCATGGAGATGTTGTGAGGCTTCTGTGAGTTGGTCACAAAAGGTGTTTACAACAAAGTGACTTCATAAATGTTGTGTGTGTTTAATAAACGTTGGCTGATATTACCCACTTCCAGGAGAGTACCTTACCTGAGACTGTTCGAATCAGAATGTAGAATAAAGCACCGTCTCACCCAGCGAGGGAATCAGAATTTATCAAACATTCTGTGAGGGCCAACCACCTGCCAGTGTGTCTGTACCAGACCCTGGGAATACAAAACCCAACCCAGCATGCCCCCGCCCCCCGGAGCCCACAGCCTAGTGGAAAACAAGACAATGTCTATACCTCCCTGCTGACAAATCCAGTTGTTTGCATAGAGCCCCACCACAGTCCTCCCAACCTCCCAGCAGGTACCTGCAGACACTTCCTGCACATAGTAAAATACCCACCGGGAAACGCTCCTTGCCGATGACATTGTTCACTGGGACCTTAGTGCATGGGGGTCCTCTCATGATAGTATATGACCTAGAGGGGAAACAGTGTCTACGTGGGCTTTATTTTCCTCCAGAAGTGACGGGTTGTAACCAGCTCCGTGTTTGTGTGTGTGTGTTAGGTTTGGAGGAGACCAGCCTGTCTACATCAACATCATTAGAGACCCCGTCAACCGGTTTTTATCTAACTATTTTTTCCGTCGATTTGGAGACTGGAGAGGGGAACAGAATCACATGATCCGCACCCCCAGCATGAGGCAGGAGGAGCGCTACCTGGTAAGTCCTGTCGCATCGGCAGAAGCGGTCCCTCCCCTGCCCCAGGCGCGCCCCTGGAGGCCGGGAAGCTCTCCTTCTCCTTCCCCATGGCATCCCCGTGGCATTTCCATGGCATTTCCATGGCACCCTCCTTGGGGATGAAGTTTTTGCTAGTGAAAGGCTAATTGTCCCAGATGACCCAGATCCTGATGAACATCTTCTCAAATGACTTTCTAATCTTGTTTTTTGCGGTTTGTCTTTAGTGCTAGGTTTTAGATCCTAGAGAAGAAACGACCTTTCCTAGAGGATCCTGACAGGTGCTGTTGGCATTTAGATGTGTTTAAGAGTCTCTCTGAGAGGGTCACAAAGTGTTTTCCTGTGAGAGAGGGGTGTTTTCAGAGGAGACCCTGCAATTCCATAAACGATGTGGGGACACAAGCCTGACTGTTTACCGGTTGTCTGATGTCAAGTCCGGGTTCTTGCCACCACGGCACGACAGAGTCAGGCCGTCTTGGCAAAAACTATCTGATCTTTCTGGACCTTGTTTGGGGACCCTCAGCTCCATGGGGATGTGAACTTTGACCCCACTAGCTGTTTCCATAGTGCAGAGTTGGGAACAAAAAACGGAGGGTCAAGTGATGCATCTTTCCGCCAACACCAGACCCAAAGTACATTTCTCACCTGCTTGTGACCTAGACTGACAAAAGCTTGCTGAGTAAAGAGGGGTCCGTGCACCTCTGTTCCCAGGGCAGGACAGTGGCGCAGAGCCTGAGCCCACTGTTGCCAAGGCCACAGAGCGTCCTTGTAGCTAAGGACGAGTGTCGTTACTCCCAGGTCCAGCCAATGACCAAACTTCTCTTAATTTTTAAAAATGTAATAAGAGTATGTGTTTGGAGGATGGGAGCATTTTGGATGATGTCACTTTCATGTGTTAAAATCCACGAGTGCAGTTGAGAAAACTGAGATGCACGAAGGTTTTGTCTTATCTTGTGCAAAACAACTCACTCACAGATGGGCCAAGACCAGAAACTAAGCCTCTTCCCTCACCATTCAGGATTTATTCAACTACCTAATGCTTTAATGAAATATTTTTAAAGCGGCTCTTACGCTTTTTTTGAAATTTTGATGGCAAAAACTCTAATCTTTTTCTTTAAACTATGTGTTATGAATATGGCTACATATTTTTTTCTCAGCAACAAATACATTTTCAGAGTATAGAACCCCTTACCAGTGATGCAGGCAGGCCAGGTCCCAGGACCCAGAGCGGAAGTCCCGCAGGACCAGCCAAGAGGGTCCTTGGCTTGACGCAAGATGGAAATCAAATGCGAGCCAGCAGGAGGTGAAAGCAGACTTTACTGAAGATCTGTAGGGAAAGAGATCTAGATGGAGCATCCGGGAGACTTGGAAAGGAAAGAGGGAGTCTTGTCTTTGCTTGGAGTCTGGGGTTTTTATTGGTAATTATGGTCTGGTGCATGTGTCGTCTCAGACCTCCAGGAACTGGTCGGAACAAGGACAGGGTCCAGGGGTCCTTCATCAGTCGCTCATTCCCCGAAGCCAGTGGTCCTGGCATGGAGATACCTAGCGCCAGGGGTCTGCAATAGGCACGTGGTGCCCCTGTTCACTCCTTAGATACCATCTTTTGTGCTGGAAAACTCCAAAGAGGTCATCATCCCTTTGTCCCTTGCAGGGAGGACATACATGAAGGTAAGGCATGTGTAGGGAGCGGGGGCAGGTCCTAGCAAGAACGGGAGCAGGAAAAGAAGCAAAGGGGAGAAAACCAGCCTTTTCTTTCATGGGGCCCCTGCAGTGGGTGACCTTGTGGTTCGTTCAGAGATCAGCAGGGAGAAGAGTGTGGCTGGTGCAGAGTGAGGGGTGGGGCCTGGAGAGTGGCAGGAGGAGAATTCAGAGAAGTCAGGCTTGGAGACAACAGATCACGTATAGCCCAGTGAGTCACTCTACTTTCTCTAAGTGAGCTGAGAAATAACCTGAATGACCCCAAAGCCAACACACCTTATCAGTGATTCTTTCTCCCGAATCTCTGTGAGGAAGAAATCCCAGCAGGGGATATGTTATCCCATCAGCCTTCAGACATTCTCAGCAGTTCTCCACCATCTTTCTAGGGGTCAGGACCTCCCTCCGGCTCTAGACCTATGTCTGGCAGATCCCTGGATGCTCTCCCTGCAAGTCTCACAAGGCTCCTGACACTCAAAGTGTCCGCACGGCTCTATTGAAAATGGAGTTTGTGGGATGGTGACCCCAGAGTTACGCAGTGCACAAGCTACACAGCTATGTAGGGAGGTCCTGATGTTCTTCCTCTGTGCTCTCACAAAGTTCTGTGCTGGTGATGTTATTTTTCTGGGTAAGGTCTTGTCTTAACTTCTCTCCTGTCCTCCCAACATTCTATAAGCTCTTTCAGGACAGGATAGGATCAGAGTTCCATCTATGTCCCTGGCACCCAGAAGAAGGGCTGAAATATTGGAGGCCTAAATAGCATTCTACTTACTAAAAAACAAACACATATTAATATGGAAGTTGAGGGCAGTTCTCTAGGTTTTTCTACCTTTCGTGTTTTTGCCAACCTGGAAATCATTGCCGATAACATAAGTCTTCACATGTTCACACACACAGTAAGTCGTAATCATTCGCCAGAGAAGTTGTAAAGGGGAGAGAAAAAAATCATGGTTTAAATTAAAAAAAAGAAAAAACCAAACCCACAGAGTTATTGAAAGCTGCTAGTTGAGGCAAATCTTCTATGTTTGAAGGGCAGGGAGCTGCTTTTATGGTGTGATTTGAGAGATTCTGGGGAAATTTCCCGGCCTGGAATTCTACCCTTAGAGATTTGCAGGGGCCCCTTTTCCCAGTGTAAGCGCCGTGTCCTGGGAAGGGCCTACGTCCGATGAGCTCATGTCATTCCTTGGCAGGGCCCCAGCAGGAGAACACTGGGTTACCCAAAACAGCAGAAGGAGAAATCAGGGGAGCCTGGAATAGAGAGGGGAGCCCAAGGGACACGTGACTCCTTCATGACCTGGCCCCAGCCTGACCCGGTTAGAATCTTTAATTGTTCAAAGGATAGTTTGTTTATTTGGAAAGAAGACAGTCTTTTGCCTTTTTTTTTTTTTTTAATAGCTGAAACTTTTTATTTCATCTCCTTGGTCCATTAAACCCTTGAAATAAAACTGCCCCCTTTCAGAGCCTGTCCTCGTTTTGGCAAGCCCAGGTGGTCAGTTGTTTGACTCAAAAGAGGGTGTTGTTTGTGTCTCAGTGGGGTGTAGGGCAGCTGTGAGGAGACCGCTGGCCCCTCTGCGAGGCCCTCCCCTGGGGGCGAGGGCCTGAGAGGGGGTGCACAGGGGGACCCCACACACGAGGAGGCCGGCGGGGCAGGCCACCCCTGCGGGGCAGCGTGATAAGGCCCCTCCCTGAACACTGCACACACACAGAGTCACGGTGGCTGGCCCAAAAGGGGGCTACTGGTGTACCCACATTATTCCAGATCTCAGCGCTCAAAGCCACTTGCTTTATCCAGTTGCCAAAAATCAGGCAGTTCTGCTCCTGGCCCTGAGCCTTGCAGCGCTGCTTAGCATACAGCTGAGAGAGGGCCAGGGCCTCTGAGCCTGCCGAGCGGGTGAAATAATATCATCTTGTGATGCTGGGTGGTTTGGAAGAAAGTGGAAAAGGGTAAAGGGATCCTAGGATGTGCAGGGACCCTGGAGGGCACGAGGAAACTCTTGTTTCACAGGCGTAGGAATGGGGCCTGGGTCTAGGGGTGGGTCAGAGGCCCCGCCAGGAGTAGAAGCCTGGCCTCAGCTCCACGACTATATTGTTGGATCGCTGGGACCTGATGTTTTACTTCCTGCATAGTAAAGGGAGAAGAGGACTGGGCTGGGCCAAGTCCTATGCTTTTTGAGCAAAATCATTTTGTCTGACACATCTTTACAAAGACACAGCTGCTATAACGTTTTTTTTCCCCCAAAATATTCAAGCATCTTATAGCTAGTTCCCATATTTTCTGGAAGCAATTAGATTTTCTAGAAGTTTCTATTTCCAAACCATGCTTCACTTGTATTCACCAAAAAATAATTTTAAAATAAATTATTGCTAGAATGGATACAAATTCAACTTCTAGCAGCCATGCCGTGAAAAGGCACTTCTCTTGGGCTCATTTCTCTTTGTCCAGATCCAGAAACTTGGCTGCCCAGGGCAGAGGTGGCTGCCTTCGTTTTTGGTTTTAGAATCATAGGTGAGCCAGAGCTGAGCACAGGCTCACTGGGGTACATCCCAGCACAGGAGACTCTTCTCCAGCTGGAGTCCAGGCTCCTTTATTTCCAAGGCAAGGAGATACCTGGCACCGGGGACATCGTTAATGAAAGAATGAAGGCTGCTAATGAAAAGCAACTATTGTGATTGACAAGCGAGGGAGAGCATCTCAGGCCTGCAGAAGCCACTCCCTTTTCTAGTTGCTGAATTTCCCTGCAAATGGATTTCTTGCCCTGGCATTTCCACTCAGTTATATGTGTGCGATTTCTGCTTGCTGTTTGCCTTAAAACCTGGCCCTAGGAAGTTTCATGGTAAAATGTTCTGCAGAGATACCAGTTTGCACTTTCAAGCTCCCCAGAATGTCAAGTTGGCCTCCTGACTCAAACTTATTGCAAATGCACTAGGCGACCCTTCCACGAGATGATCCTCCATTTGAGGAGCCGGGAGAGGAGGAGATTTTCCCAGGGAGGAAACTGCCTCTGTGATAGTGTTTATTCGGCTTGGCTGTAAAACAGGGAAAGTAATGCATGTTTAAAAAAAAAAAAAAGATGCATAATTTACAGCTTCTTAATTCATAAAGAATTCAGTGAATCATGTTGGCCCCATTGGATTCTGGAGAAGTCTGAAAACTGGCCAGCGTCAGCAAAGGTTTTCAGAAAGCTATGCATTTTAATCTGCTTGAAAGTTTTGGACTCTGAACGTCCTTTAGCTTTGGAAATGTATATCTGAAATACTCACTTCTGGAAATTTCCACTCTTTCCTGACCAGCTGAGGCTGTCCTGTGAATGAAACCTCAGGCTTTGCCTCTGTCTCTAAAGCATCCTTTTCCTTAACAAAAGAAAACAAATAAGGGATTTGGATGATCTGCTTTTTAAGTATTTCGATAAATATGTCCTCCAAATTTTTAAAAGTAGAAAAGTAATACTCCGTCTCCAACTAGTTCAGATTTGGCTTACGATTGTGGCTGGAGATAGCAGCCTTGCTGGGTGACCGAGCCAGTGATTTAGCCTCTGTGAACCTTACTTTTCTCATCTCTACGATGGGGACATCTTGCCCCCCTTTGCCTGTATCACAGGGTTGTTGGGAGAATAAACTAAGCATTCTACACAGAAGCGCTCTGATGGCTGGAAATCTCTAAAACATGTTTAAGCATCGGTGCTTTCATTTCCCTGGCTCTCTTCGTGGCTCCCCAAGACCTAAAGAGACTATTTCTCCTGCAGACAGGGGCTCCTGTTCTCATGCGGCTCAGGCCGCGCTGGGCCGTGTCCTGAACCGTGAGGTCCACCTCTGCCAAGGTCTCAAATGGCCCCACTAGGCCCCTTGCCCCGGGAATCTGTTTCTAAGGAAACTGCTTCTCTTTGTGTTCCCAACAGCTGAGGACACGTTCTGATCCCAGCCCACTGGCGTAGATCTGTCCCGTGTTTATTTGCTTGGAAACCTAAGCAGCTGCGGGCACAGGGCTGTAAGTCACAGAAGCAGCACACCGTCGGCCCCTAAGGAACGGAGAGGAAAGGTGTGCCGGGACCAAAGGCTCTCACTTGCCGCCGGAGCCGCCCAAAGGACAGAGGAGTCCCCACTCGAGAGAAGTGTTCTTGAAACCCGTTTGTCCTGAGGTGTGTCAAGAGCGGTCCCAGGCACTGTTAGAGCCAAAGCCACGTGTGGGGTTCAGCAGTACGTGGAGTGCCCCCGGGAGCCGCCAGCAAACAGACGATGCTGTTGGGGGCGCCTGGGTGGCTCAGTTGTTAAGCGTCTGCCTTTGGCTCAGGTCATGATCCCCGGGTCCTGGGATTGAGCCCCGCATCGGGCTCCCTGCTCGGC